CATTCCTGCAAGTCTTCAAAACTCCTAATCAGAATATTTAGAATATAAACAAAGTAGCCAGGGGATAGGAGGTAACATTGTTTCCTTGCAGTGAAGAGAGAGGAGGGAGGAAAGTGTTCTGATAAGTTAACAAAGATTTCATGAATGAAATGAGCTGTTTGGATCTCTGTTAGATTATAGTTCCAGATTCTAAGATTTTTTTGTTGTTGTTGTAAAGGCACTGGAGCACTTAAAATACCAACCCTTAGGTTCTACAACATAATCAATTATGTACTGGAATGCTTCTAATAAAAGACAACTCGGAAAGATGTCTTTTAAATACTGCTGTTGTCTGTGTATTTTTTTTTTTTTTCCCCCACCGGCTTTGTCAACCCTGCTTTTGGTACTGTGAGTATTTTGGCACAGTGTTGATTGTTTGTACTTGCTACTGCTCAAGCAGAGCTTCTCAGGAAAATGAAGACTACAATGGAGATGCTGTTCTCAGGTAAGTCCTTCAGCTGCTGCATTTTCCAGATGCATGTTTTCCATGCAAATGGATAGAATCAATAGGCAAAAGGGTATTATGCAAAGCAGTTGGCTTGGGGAAGTTGAGTGCAGGAAATAAGATGGATTTCCTAATACACTTTGAAGTCCACTTGGTTTAAACCTTACTCCACTGGAGTCTCCATTAGATGTGAGGAATGGTGGGGGTGGTGGGAAGTAATTGGAAGAAATAAAACTTCAGTCCTCCGCCTTATTCTTTTGAATGTGTGCATCTATTTGCCTTTTTGCTAAGCTATTTTCAAGAGAACCTGGTTATTGGCCTTGTTTTGATACAAGTTTTCCTCTGTTGAGGAAGCATGTTTTTATTTTGCATCCATTTGGTGTTTTGTTGACTAAGTGCAAGTGTTTCATTGCTTATTTAGTATTTACACTGTTCTGTGTATAAGCTTAGGAAAAAATGTGATCTTCATATTCTCAGCAACAGGAAACTCCTTAAACTGCAGCTATGACTTATTCTTGCTCAAGCTCTTGCTAGTCTCTTTGCCTACAAGTCATCCTCACTTGCCTGAAGCTCTTGTTTGCAGCATCATGAAAGAAACCAAAGAAAGTGACTGCATCTGGAATGCTGTTTTCAGTTCTCTACTTCAATCTCAAACAGCCAAATTTCTCTGTGAAAAGAAACAATTTCAAAATGTTCTGCATCTGTGCATGCTTGCTAATGTATGTTTTGGGAGGTACACATGCTCTAGTTAGTTGCATGTTATTCAAAATACAGCCCCAGAGAGGGAGGTGCAATGGTCACTTGTGGCAATAACTGTTATGCCTTATAGAGAAACTGTATTTGTTTCAAGAGCCTGCTTTGTCCTGAAATACTGTCCCTACTCCTTTGGTTTGATTGCCAGCTGTGGTGTAAAATTAGGGCTTGCTTAGAGATGTTATTACATGTATATCTAGTAAAGATGTATATTCTGTATGTGTTTATATAGAATGTTGACAACTTACAGGTAATAGCTCATCTGTTTTTCTTTATGCTACATGCAATCCTATCAAATGAATCCTTTTCCTTATAACTAAGTATTAAGAATCTATGAAAGAAATTCTTCATCTGAAGGCTAGAAGTCAAAGTCTCAGATGAGATGGGAGTTTGCATGAAGGATTTTTTCTTTACCCATTTAATTTGTGTCAAACAACACTAACTTAGTCCAAAGCAAATGAACAAAAATTGGTTTCCTTGTTCATACTGAGCCTTACAGCCATCCTGCCATGAGGATCTAGTGAATCAAGAAGACGACAAGGGGATTCCCACTGTCATCTTGGCTCCTATTCATGGCCATTAATAATCTAAGAAAATGAATTCTTTAAGGAAAAGAGGTACAAATAGATTTTTATTTTAATATGTGGCTCTAGAGGAGCTGTTGGGAGTTTAATGTCTAGAAAATCCATCTTTAAATGCTAAGTTCTAAGGTTCGAGTTTTGGAATATTCAAAAATCTTGTGTTTTCTGTGCTGGTTTCTTTCGGGCATAGGCTGTTTGCTTTGTCGAGGTCTAGAATCTTGCTTTCCCAGTTTAAATCCATTGGGGGAATGTACTTGTGGAGTAAGGAGTGGAGTAAGTCACCTCCCACTGTAAGGTAGTTTGGAAAAGTACTCTGCACTCATGCATGTGAAGGCTCCTTCTTTGTATCCGAGGGGTAGCACTCACTGTTGGCCCTCTTGTAGGGCTTCAGCAGCAACCCCAACAAGGTAGTCCTCTCACTTCTGTGTGCATCTGTAGATCTGAAGACGCTCGGGCCTTCCTTGTCAAGCAGAAGTGCTGTAGTGGAGAATAGCAGGAAGGCTGGTACTATGTGCCCATTCAAGCTTTTGTTCCTTATTAAATTACTGTCCTTAATAGCAGTACAATGTTAGGGTTAAATCTATGTTAGGGTTAAGCTTTTTGCTTTGGTTGCTGTATCTTTTCTTATTAAATTACTGTCCTTATAGCAGTACAATGTTAGAGTTAAATCTCTAGCTTTTTGCTTTGGTTGCTGTATCTTTTCCTGCAGAAGTATAGATGGCTGCTGCAATCAGAGATTGGTTTGCGACTTCTGTTATTCATGAAATTCTGTTGAAGCTTGGTGTTGCATTTTTTAAGCAATTGAAAGGAAATCCTGTTTAAATGTGCTTAATCCATCTCCAAATGGACCGTCCGTTTCCTGTCCCTAGCTATAACTGCAGTTTTGTGTTGGTTACTGTTTGGCTTTTTTGTTGTCTTTCAGCCTCATTTCTTGAAGAAATGAGACGTGCATGATCAGGCTACTGCTACTAACTTCTGAACCTAGTTCCAAACAGGAGGAGAGCTTTAAGGAGTGTTAATTCCTGCCAGTTATGAGGAGACTTTCAGACAGGCGGAGGACTAACTCCTCATGAAAAAACACCCTCTACTTTTGGAAGTCAAACGCTTGTCTTGCTGTTCAAGCAGCTAGTTATTTTTTGTGGCTAGAAATTTCTTCATTTTTCCCGTATTTTATACCTATGATGTCTTCATAAAGACAGGTATATTATTTTTCAGATGGTAGCTGGCCAGAAAGTCAATCTACTGATAGAAATGAAAATGTTAAGAGAAATAGAGGCTACTTTCAGCTGTTGGGTAGGCATCGTGCCTGTACCAAGGGGAGAAAGAATTGCTCTGAGAAGGCTGCCAACTCTCTTCCACTACAGAAAATTGAATCTTGTATTCCGCAGTTTTTCATAAGTCTGTTACATAAATTCTAGCACTTCAGGATGACGCTGCTAGAATACTCTGTGGAATAAAATCATGAATGAGTAATCTTTTTCATACTGTAAAGTGGGTCACTCTATTTTTACTGCTTAGTTTACATGATGTAAGACTTCTAGTCTGCAGAAAATATTAACTCATACTAAAAGTAGAAATTCAGTAGTTCAGTAGTGTTTTGACCTTCATTAAAAGTCAACAATAGAGTTTATGCCTTGCTAAAAAAAATGCAAAAATATCCATTTGTGTTTTCATAGTTTTGATTGAAAGAATAGTTCATGTGTCTTATAGGAGTCTTCTGCAGGTTTACGTTCAGTTACCAACAATGTATTTTGCATTGGATTTAAAACTGGGGGAAAAAGTGTTTAAAAGTAGTAAAGGACCTGCTTTTTCTGCGCCCATGAAAGCTCAGTGGTGAGAGTTACACTACTGCAGCAGGAGTTCTGTAGGGCTGGTGGCTCAGCTCAGAATTCCCACTGATCCGTGGCGAGAGTTTCACGTGGTGGCGTTGGCGTGGTTGGATTCTGGTCTGAAGCAAACGTGAAACCTGTCATTGAAGTGAGTAAAATGATGCTGACGAATTGCTCATAGAAACTGAGAAGTGAATTACTTGGGTACAGAAAAAAAGTCTTTATGGTTTCGGAATCTCAGATGTTATCAGCAAAAGCTTGTGTGGCTGAGATTGATACTTCTGTCTCGAGTAAAATGTAGCTTCCAGCTTTGCCAGTGCGCAGATGAAATCTTTGGGTTATTACTTGTGGATCACAATGGACTTTCAAGTTGTTGAATATTCTCATTCTCAGAGTTTGTGTTCTTTATAGGTGGGGAAATGCAATGTCTGTTATGAATGCACTGTGTGTCTGCCTCAAATACTGTTGAAAAATACAGCTTAAAAAAAGTATCCTCTTTGCTAAAGGTAAAACCTTGAGTTGAGTAAATGTCTAATAAGTTCTTATGTTTTTAAGGTTGTATGTATAAGATGTCTTTAAGGCTATATATTACCAATGCATTTCACACTTCTGATAGAAGCTTTTTTCGAGGGTTTTAAACTTTATTCATAGTTATTACATAAGCACAATATACTTTTTTCAGTATCTTGCAAATATTTCAAATATTACAGTTCAAAAACATGGAGCAGCGATAAACCAAAATTAGCTGAGAATTAGTCTGTTAGCTGTTTTGATGAATAACTTGCAAAAGCAGTGAGCTAAGTTCATATTTTCATTTTATTGAAATTAAAATGCAGAAACAA